ATTCGCGAGGGACCGACAGCGGTCCTGCAGGATACATACGCAATGTTTCCTTCACAACAGCTTGGAGATATATCAAATTTTTCACATCCGATTCACTCACTGCCCTGTCTCTCCCAACATGTTCGTCTAATTCCTTTTGAAGCTTCTCGTATGCTTCGTCACGATTGAGGAGTAAGGAAAGAGCCCAAATCATGTCGGTTGTGTTGGTGTGAAATCCCCCCAATATCATAGCCTACAAAAAATTTCAACTAATTTAGTTATTGGGGTTCAAAATTGAGCTTACTTCTTGAATTAATGGATTTTTTGCATACCAAACAGGTGGATTTGATGACCGTGTCGGCATCGTAGCCGGGAAATTCTTCATTGTCTATAAAAGACAACATAACGTGCATGAAATCCTGCTCTTCCGGCGTCACTTCACCGGAATTTCTCCTCTCACGATGCTCTGCCAGCCATTTATCAAGCATCTTGTCCAGCACCTTTGCCGTCTTCTTCATGGCCTTCTTATGACCTCCAAAGTCGAACCATTTCAGAAATGCAAACAAATCCGACGGAACAAACGCCGTAAACAAATTAAAAAAATCCTCCAACGCGTGCCGATACTCTGCTCCGCCGCTACCTTCAAAAGCAGTGGTGAATCGTTTTCCGACCACCATCCTGAATATAGTATTCAGCGCCATTTCCCCAAACCACGTCTCCATCTCCATCAACGCTTTATTACCTCCATTATTTGATTTGCAAAACTGATGTAATTTCTCGATCGAGATTTGAACCTCTGATCTTGGGATGTGTTGAAGCTTCTCGAGTCGATGGTTGGCGAGGAGTTCAAGCGTGGCTATCTTACGCAAATGGCTCCAGTGTGATCCGTATGGGCTTAGCGCAAACATGGCATAATCATAGCCAAGTAGCTGTGCGGCGGCAAACTTGGGGCGGGAGGCAAATGCTTTGTCGTTGACAGTTAAGCACTCCCTTGCCACTTCCCAGCCACTCACAATCAAGGTTCGGTGGGCGCCTAATCTTAACATGAAGATTGGTCCATAAACGTCCGCCAATTTTCCCAACGCGGTGTGATGTGGTTCTTTTCCGCTTAGTAAAGGGAGGTGGCCGATGACCGGCCAAGCACCGCGGGGTTGGGGCGGTAGTCTCTTGCGGTGAGCAGAAAATATAGTGAAGAGAGCATAAAGAAAGAAGAGAAGGGCAAAGATTGCAGGCAGAGCAATGGTAGTTGAGGATATGTGGGGAAGTTCCATTCTTCCTAGGTTACGGTTCGTTGCTGTTTGGAGATGAAGGTATTAAACGAACACGACTAAGTTCTCATGGCTTTGCTTTGGGCTTCCCCAAAAGGCCTCACACCAATGGAGTTAGTATTCCTCACTTATAAACCCATGATTACACCTTAAATTAGTCGATGTGGGACTTCCATCATCCAACAGAAGGATCCTTGTAATGATTTATGGGTTTTTATGGGACAATAATTGAGACAGAGAAATTTTCTTATTGGTGTTCATTTTTCAACTTTCCTTATTTTAAAAAAAATATAATATATAATCTATGAGCATATCTTTCATCAATTATTGTACTAATTATTATTATTATTATTATTATAAGCAAAGCTATGCGATTTGTACAATGTTCTCTTTTTTAAAAAAAATTTATATCACTAGTCAACGGTATCAATTAATCTAAAACGTGGTAAATTAATTAAATTATATTGGGACAGGGTGTTGGCCCATCTACGACTATATTTTTCTCATTTAAATAATTGAATAAGCAATTGGCGACCTTTTCTTTGCAGGCTTGAGATTCTCTTTCTCGGGGTTCTTTCAACACCATTGTATATTATAAAATGTGACAGGCGAATAGATGAATTAAAGATACATAAATAAACTGAAACCATCTTAGAATGAGAGGAATCTTGAGAATAGAATAGCTAATAAATGCTTAAAAAAATTGAAAATTATCATCTATACTTATCAAGTGGGATTTTTTTTTTTTTTTTTTTAGCTCAATCATAAGAACTCTATAGTTAAACGTGCTTTGTTTGAAGCAATATTACGTTGAGTGAGCTCTTAGTGATTTTTTAAAGATATAGGTAAGTAAGGAAATAATTATTATTAAATAGTTAAAACTTTTAATAAAAAATAATAAAGGTTGACAGCAACATTTATATTTTAATAATAAAGGTTGACAGCACCAATGCACTGTCATTTTTAGGCCTAACTCTAGGTTGGACGCTACTAGCACCAAACACACACTAGAAGGGATAGGAGGCAGAGGCTTTGATGACACTATTCACACTATTACTATCCCGATTAAATTTTCTTTGTCGTCTCTACCGTAGATGTTTACTAGGTTTTTGGAGAGTCCAGACGATGTAAATCGTCTCTCGTTTCCAAGACACTCTCCCTGACGACACAATACGTATTCTCGTTAGGCGCCAGACTCATGACTCGGATCTTACATTACTTTATGCTACTAATTAAGGTTAAAATAGTGTGTGATTGATATTTTATATTAATTTACCAAATAATAGACTTTTGAATCAACGCGGAATAAACTCATCAAAATATCAAATTTCAAAGAGGTTGTTCCGCTTGCAAAATATGAAAACATTTTTATGCAATTAAAAATATACAACCCAATTATAAATTATTTTTTCGAGATTTATCACATAATCATTCATGAACCTTAGTAGAAACACGCGGAGTTAAGACAACTTGAAGAGGGATTTTCTTAGTGAGGTTCAATGCAGCATTTTCTTCCATATTGAGTGGCTCTTCGGATGGTCGTCCAATTTCAAACTCATGAAGAAGCCTTGCAAACGACTGGTGCAAAATTTGGAGGGCAAAATTTACTGCAGGGCAAATTCTTCGACCAGCACCAAACGGTATCAACTGGTGATTTCGTCCTTTAACATCAAAATCCTTTTGAGTTGTCAAAAACCTCTCTGGACAAAATTCATTAGGATTCTCCCAAACACTTGGATCTCTTTGGAGTCTATAAAGATTCACCCACAGTCGTGTCTTTGCTGGGATGTGATACCCAGCAGCTATACAATCTTCCGTAGATTCATGAGGGACCGACAGCTGTGCTGCAGGGTACATACGCAATGTTTCTTTCACAACGGCTTGGAGATATATCAAATTTTTTAGATCCGATTCTCTCGCTACCCTGTCTCTCCCAACATGTTCGTCCAATTCCTTTTGAACCTTCTCGTATGCTTCTTCATGATTGAGGAGTAAGGAAAGAGCCCAAGTCATTTCAGTTGTGGTGGTGTGAAATCCCCCCAATATCATAGTCTACACAAAATTTCAACTAATTTAGTCATTGGGGTTCAAAATTGAGCTTAATTCTTGAATTAATGGATTTTTTGCATACCAAACAGGTAGATTTGATGACCGTGTCGGAATCGTAGCCGGGAAATTCTTCATTGTCTATAAAAGACAACATAACGTGCATGAAATCCTGCTCTTCCGGCGCCACTTCGCCGGAATTTCTCCTCTCTCGATGCTCTGTGAGCCATTTATCAAGCATCTCGTCCAACACCTTCGCCGTCTTCTTCATGGCCTTCTTATGACCTCCGAAGTCGAACCATTTCAGAAACGGAAACAAATCCGACGGAACAAACGATGTAAACAAACTAAAAAAATCCTCCAACGCGTGCCGATACTCTGCTCCGCCGCTACCTTCAAAAGCGGTGGTGAATCGTTTTCCGACCACCATTCTGAATATAGTATTCAGCGCTATTTCCCCAAACCACGTCTCCATCTCCATCGACGCTTTGTTGCCTCCATTATTTGATTTGCAGAACTGATGTAATTTCTGGATGGAGATTTGAACCTCTGATCTTAGGATGTGTTTAAGCTTCTCGAGTCGATGGTTGGCTAGGAGTTCAAGCGTGGCTATTTTACGCAAATGGCTCCAGTATGGTCCGTATTGGCTCAGCGCAAACATGGCATAATCATAGCCAAGTAGCTGCGCGGCTGCAAACTTGGGGCGGGAGGCAAATGCTTTGTCGTTGACAGTAAAGCATTCCCTTGCGACTTCCCAGCCGCTCACAATCAAGATTCTGTTTGCGCCTGATCTTAACATGAAGATTGGTCCATAAACGTCGGCCAATTTTCCCAAGGTGGTGTGGTTTGGTTCTTTTCCGCTTAGTAAAGGGAGGTGGCCGATGAGCGGCCAAGCACCGCGGGGTTGGGGCGGTAATCTATTGCGATGAGGGGAAAATAGGGTGAAGAGAGCATAAAGAAAGAAGAGAAGGGCAAAGATTGCAGGCAGAGCAATGGTAGGTGTGGATATGTGGGGAAATTCCATTTTGGGTTTGTTACTATTGGTTGTTGTTTGGAGATGAAGGATCCCATGGAATTAAATGGGTTCAAATGCAATAATAATTGAGATGGAGATATTTTCTACGTGGTGTTCATTTTTCAATTTTTTTTTTAATTTTTTAAATACAAAATATATATATATATATATATATATATATATATATATATATGAGCAAATCTTTCTTCCATTATTGTCCTAATAATTATATATATATATATATATGAGCAAATCTTTCTTCCATTATTGTACTAATTAATAATTAGGACTTTGTAGACGTGGATATAAATGTTTGCTGGATCTAGAAAGTTATCTTATTTATAATTAAATAAATTACATGAATATAGGAAGAGTAATAAATGAAAATAATAATAAATGGGAAGATAAGGAGGCAAATATCTAGATATTTTTCTTATAATAAAATATCAAATATTATATATATAGTAAACGGTAATTTATTACTAAATATCCTCACTAGTGGAGATAGTCTTTACTCTTATAAACGAGAAGTAGCTAACGTGACCATGTCACACGGGATGCATAAGAATGCCAGGGCCATTAGATGTCAAATCTGAATTATGAATCCTAATAAAATGAAAATTTATATTGAATTGAAATTCGTGCATGATCTCTAACCATTAAACCGTAAAGGAAATGAAAGTACCAAAAACTAAAATGAAAATGATCTCTAGGGAGTGATTAGTATGGTAAACCAATTCATCCATGGTCGAGAGTCAAATAACTCACTAAAAAGTAATTTACAGAGATCTAAGATATTTGAAAACCATTTTAATGTTAAAATTTATAGTGAGAATGACGGTAATGATAGCACGAGATAGAGGACAGATAAATTCAGTAACTAGGAGTAGTGAAAATTTGAGGGCGGACTCATGGGTTAAGAAGGCATGGTTATAGCCAGTGTGTAGAGCCATTGCTAGCCATTGTGCTGCAGGAGTGCGGGACTGAAGCCGATGAGCACCTCAAAGGTCAAGATAGCCAAGAAATGGGCATGGGCATGGACATGGGGGCATGTAGGAGAACCTTCATTCCTGACATTCATTTCTATTCATATTTTCTTAATACAATAATAAAAATACACTAAGCTTTTTTATTTTAAATTTTATTATTATTTGCATCCCCATAATCCAATTGCCAACTAGGTCTTCCAAGAGTGAAGTCTAAATTAATCCTTTGCAAAACGTCGGCGTTTGAGTTGGTCCTCTCGCAACTATTGCCTCTGCACACAGTAAAAGAAGATGAGTTTATGGGTCTAAAACACAGTAAAAAAACACAGTAAAAGAAGCAAATGAAAGATGAACTCACCGTTTGAGTGTGTGAAAGTTAGATTTTTGAAGAGATAAAGAAGATGAAGAAGAAGAAGAAGAAGAAGAAGAAGAAGAAGAAGATAAAACCCCATCTGCTTCGATCTCAGGCCTTCCATAATCGTCTGCAACAAAAAAACATGAAGCTTTTTTTAATCTTCAGATCTGAAGAAGTGAGGAAGAAGAACAGTGTTTGCATTAAAGAACAGACAGTGTTTTTATTTATTACCTGTTCCCTTCTTCACACTGTTCTTCACTGTTCGGAACATCTGCATCCACAACAAACCAAAACCCTTTTTCTTTTTAACAGCCTTGCGTTGTAGTTGATGTAATTTTAGATGCTTTTTTGTCCTTTCACGTTTGTACTCTCTCTTTTACTCCCCTATCTCATATCAATGAATCTTCAAAAATGTTATGTTTTATGCGAATAAGATAAATATTATGTGACAAAAACAACCTCTTTCAACCCACATGTACCCGCATCATTAACTCCACCTAAAAACTAGACTCGAAAACTCTTATCAATAACTTAGTAGCTACAACGGAATCATTAGCTCCTTCTTGCTAACCACGGGAACGCCGTGGAGGGTCTCCCATGGAGATGCAGGAATCGATAGCCGAATCGACCCACAATGCTAGATTAGAGGAATAGGTTCATTTGACTCCTTGACCCTACTTAAGACCTCCGAGTGCTTTCGAACTTCTGACTCAATAAATTGGTATGGCTTGTTTGTTTAGTTTGTCCCCTTTTTTAATATGTACTGTTCGAGCAAGCAAATGACTAACAGGGCCGAGGAACCACAATAAACGAGACGACAGAAGTTATACAAGAATATGAGTAAACTAATCCTATCGAGAGCAATTTTTTTGATGAACGAGAGAAGATATGCTAAAAGAAGAGGGAAAAAGCTTAACCCGTTATGTTTGATACGAGACTTTTTGAGAAAATAAAAAAATAAAATTACGAGAGTTTATGCATAAAATAGACAATATCATATAAATTTGGCAGATAAAACAATGAAAGTACCTGCAAATGGCTTTTGACATGAGCTAGGGTTAGATCCTTGACATTCATAAGCTCCAATACTGATTTTGGTGTAGCTCCTGAGACAGATACAGAAATGGATATTAATAGAACAATCAAAGTTTTGATGTGTTTAAGGTTATTGGTTTTGTTGTGGAATTACTTTCATGGCCGCCAAGAAGCTCAACAGCGTGTACAAAATGAGCATGTAGCGTCGTAGTCCATCTCATTCTAGGAGCTCGGATGCTTCTTCTCACTCCACACCCACCAACACTTGGTTTAAAGTCACGGCGGCGGCCATGGAGGACATTATAAGCTTGGTGACGAGGACGACCCAGATGGGCTGGTTCATATCCAAAGTGGAAGCAACCATTTTGATGGGTGAAGTCAGGATTGTGAGAGGGCGGGGCGAAGAAGGGGAGGCTGATGTGCAAGGAGAGGTCCGGCGGGTTCATGAGAGAAGAGTGGCAAAAAGATGAGGGGTTTAAAGGGTAATGAGTGGGTTATGATTTGAAGAGCAAAAGGAATGAATAACATATATTGGATGTATTAAGAAGAAGAGTGAAGGGAAGAAAAAGTTAAAGGGAAAGAGGGAGTTTTGAAGTATTTAATGCTGCAGAAGGGCAGAAGAACAGAAGAGAAAGAGAGAAGATGTTGTTATCTTTTTAAGAATAAAGCTTAAGGAGAAGAAAGAGAGGGCGAGAGAGAGATGTAATGGCGTCTTGTGAGAAGGGAATGTGGTTGGAAATCGTGAAAACAAAATGGGAACTGTTGGATGGAATATTGGAGGCCTAATTTGGGTCTCACTCTACCTTCATAGACGCTGACCCTTCTCAATTTTCCATTCATTTTTTCTTCTTTTCAATAATATCGGTTAGCGGCCAACTTGGGCCGTTAAAAATGGTCTCAAACTCAGTTACTGAGTGGTGTGCCAGCAAAGACACTAACTTCTAGTTTTGATACAATTTATAACGGCCTAAACTCACTGGATAGTAGACTAGCTATTGAACTGGGTGTGAGGTTGAGGGAACGGGGAAGGCAGGTGTGGAAGGGCACGGAGAGAGTAGCTGGTTGAATAGCGCCAGATTCATCGGCGGCAAGATGGGGTTGGGGTTGGGGTTATGTTGGGCTCACGTGACCATCAAAACTCCCCATGTTTTTTGGTATATGTAGTTTAGTTGCTGTTTTGAGAAGCGTTTGGGTATCTTATCTGGGGCTCGACAATCCATGTCTTTGCTTAATTAAATCACAAACAACACCAACATGGAGCATAGTGGATGGGCGTTGAGTTGAAACAACGTCGATTACATTATTATTATTATTATATAATTGGGCCTCCATCCATGCACGGTCAGCGCCTGATGCGCTCTAGATTCTTTCCCACCGCATCACTCAAAACCCTTTTAACCTCTCACCCCAACATGTTGTATCTTGCATTCTTGTCAATACCCTCGTGTTGTTTTCAACCACCCACTCACCCATTTGCCATTTGGGCATCATTTCTATGTCTTTGAGTATCCATGAAACGACAAAAGAGAAAGGAATCGCCGAAGCCCACGGCGTTTAGGCTTGTGTGCACCTGCCACACATTACACAATAATAATAATATATTGCATTATGGTTTCCAGTGAAAGGATGTTGAGGCCCATCTGAAACTGCGAGTAGACGCCAAGTTTTGGAGGTTGTGGGTAGACAAAAGGAATGGAAATTATAGCCGTACACATTATTCATAACAAAATATGAAGAAAGCTAGAAAAGCTTGTACGCTTTTTGAGGGGACCCGGTGAGGGCCTGTTCGGATCAGAGGATCATGTGGGTTGCCTCAGTGCTTCCTACCCCATGCTACTCAAGTTTGTGGGTCATATTTTGGCTTCAAGTTGGCTCGATTCTACGAATTATTAGACACTTTTAGAAGCTTAGATCAAGAAAATTAGTAATTTAATTTATACCTATTTAAGATATATATATAGATATTACAACATATGTTTCACATAGTGGGTACATAGTCCAACCTCCGACACATGGTTAGGATCTAATACCAACACACCTGTGACATTCAATACTATCTTTGAAAGACCCTTTTCAAAATAGAACGCCCGTGAGAGAGAGCCTAGGGTGATAAAGAGTCAATATCATGTCCACCCACGAGATATTTTCTTAGGCATTCTTAAATTGGCGGGTGTAAACATGATTTTAGTGAACGAACGTGGTATCGTGAAACATCCATCTAGTGTCCAATTGACACTAAATTTGGCGAGCTACCAAATTTTGCTCTATTTCCATTAAAAATGTGTTTTGAAATAATATATTTAAGAATATAAATTTGTGGGTTGGTTGAGATTGAATAATTTGTTCTCCTTGTGGTCAGTATTTTCGTGTATTTGTTAGGGCCACCTGCAGTCACGGAGTGACCAATTTTTTATTTGGTCCAAACCTTTGTTGTATTCATCAATCTCTTTCACCTTTTTTTTTTTAAATTTTTTTTAATTTTTTTTTAATGTTTCTAATAATGTTAGGACTTTTTTCTTTTTTCTTTTTTTCAATATACTTTGGCATCAAGAAAGACAACTCCGGAGGGGTAACTTGTTTGGGCCCCTTTCAAGTCGAAGGAACACGCCACCTATCCTCCATTCGTTCATTTTTCTAAACGAAATTGAGCTTTCAACTTTTTAGCCGTTAGTATCTGTCAATATTATTAAGTCACTGATTTTGATAATTAATTTAGTGTATATATATATATATGTTTTCAAGTGGTGAGATGCTGCTATTAATACTCAGATTTAGTCAAGTTTTTTTCCTTTTATTAAGAAAATTGCAGCTAATTATCTATAAATTTTGCAATGATTTTTTTGGTCGTAAACTGATATTTTGTTGGAAAAGTACGAAAATACATCTAATTGGGCCTTTTGTAGCCCAAGCCCATTTCTTCATACATTAATTGGGCCTTTTGTAGCCCAAGCCCACTTATTCATACATTAATTGGGCCTTGGGCCGGTCTGATTCCTTACGGTTCTAAACTGCCGGGCCTAAAAATTAGAAGGCAGCCCAACATTTTTTTTATATAAATACATAGGTAATTAATTTTATTGATTAAAGTTATTAATAATTCCATTAATTTATATCACCCAGCCTAAAGAGTTAAATTCTTTTTGTTTGAGTTAGGTTGAATAGAAAACTGCATAATCGATTTGATATTTTCTTTTTATGTGATCAACCCAACCAATTAGAAAATAGAGTTACAAACCAGTTCAATCTTTATCTTACTTTTAAAGATTATTATAAATATTAAAAAGAGGTGATAAATTTAATTTTTTAAAAATAATTTAAAAAACAACTCGATAACTCGCCTCAACACAAATGGATTGAGTTAGGGAGTCTTTAAGCCTATTTTAATTAATTAGGATATTATTATTATTATTATTATTTTAAAACGAGAATAACTTCTTATATATATATATATAGATAGAACTGAATTTAATTTAATTAGAATAGTTAAAAAAAGAAAAAAGAATATATATATAAAATACAATTTTGTGGCGAGGGGTTGGGACCGATGAGCGAATAGCAGGGGAAGGCCAACGCCGGATCGCGCTGAAGTTGGAGAGCAAAGCAACTGCGGAAGAGAGCAACGATGACGGTGTTTCATTTCTTCAACTGTGCGATTCTCACTTTCGGTCCTCATGCTGTCTACTACTCTGCAACGCCCTTGTAAGGATCTCGCTTTTTCATCTTCCTTGCATCTCCTTCTACTTCTTTAGATCTCCTGTTCCTCGCACTGTCTCTTCAGGCCCACAGTGATTTGTTGTGTTGAAATTCTCCTCACTTTGCTTTGTTTGGAATGATTTCTTGCTGTTTAATCTTGGACTGCTTCAATTTTAGTTCCTCTGCTCGTCCGGAGTGATTCGTTCGGTTGAAATTCCGTTCTCCTTGCTTTGTTTTTATATGATTTATTGATTGTTTGGACTGTTCAAGTTATTAGTTCCGATTTGTATGGAGCTGTGTGTCTGAACTGGATTAGAGAATCAGTTTAGAAGCAGTCTCTATTTTGCAAAGTACCGAAATGCTTAATGACTTGAGTCGGCTGGCCAACTTCCTTGTTTTGATGAAATGGAATTTCTGTAGTTTATTAGAGTAGTGGAACGGTTTGTATTCCCAGTGCCACGTTCTGATTTCTACCATGTACGATTTGGTTGCCATAGCTACCAAAATAAGCAATATAAGTCAGTTAAGACAGCTTCATGCGCATCTTGTTCTCAATTCCCTCCAATCTCAGAACTACTGGGTTTCTCTGCTCCTCACTATCTGTACTCGTCTTCACGCTCATCCTTCCTATGCGGCTTCTATTTTTACCTCCTCGCCCTACCCCAATGCTTCTGTTTACAGTTGTATGCTCAAATATTACTCCCGCATGGGTGCCCACGACGAGGTGGTTTCTCTCTTCCGATGCATGCAGTGTCTAGACCTCAGGCCCCATCCCTCTGTTTATATATACTTGATTAAGTTAGCTGGGAAATCTGGCAATTTGTTCCATGCTTCTGTCCTGAAGTTGGGTCATATTGACGACCACTTCATCCGTAATGCTGTATTGGATATGTATGCAAAATATGGACAAGTGGATCTTGCCAGGAAGTTGTTTGAGCAAATGCCTAATAGAACTCTAGCGGACTGGAATTCAATGATTTCTGGCTGTTGGAATTCGGGAAATGAAGCTGATGCAGTCATGCTGTTTAATATGATGCCTGATAGGAATACTATTTCATGGACTGCCATGGTTACTGGGTATGCTAAGAGGAGGGACTTGGAGAGTGCTAGAAGGTATTTTGATGAGATGCCAGAGAAAAGTGTAGTCTCGTGGAATGCCATGCTATCAGCTTATGCTCAAAATGAATGTGCAGAAGAGGCTTTGAAATTGTTCCATCGAATGCTGAAAGAGGGAATCACTCCTGATGATACAACATGGGTAGCTGCAATTTCATCGTGCTCTTCCATCGGCAATCCTAACCTTGCCGATTCACTTCTAGCAAAGATTAACCAAAAGCACGTCATTTTGAATAATTATGTCAAAACGGCTTTACTTGACATGCATGCAAAATTTGGTAACCTTGAAATTGCTAGAAGAATTTTTGATGAATTGGGAGGTCAGAGGAATGCTGTTACTTGGAATGTCATGATCTCAGCATATACAAGGGCAGGAAAACTGTCATTAGCTCGGGAGCTGTTTGACAATATGCCAAAAAGAGATGTTGTTTCATGGAATTCAATGATAGCTGGTTATGCACAAAATGGAGAGTCTGCCATGTCAATTCACCTCTTTAGAGAAATGATTGATTGTACGGACATACAACCAGATGAGGTCACCATAGCTAGTGTCTTATCGGCCTGTGGACATATTGGGGCTCTGAAATTTAGTTACTGGGTTCTAAATATCGTTCAAGAGAAGAACATAAAGTTTGGCATTTCAGGATTCAATTCTTTGATATTCATGTACTCTAAATGTGGAAATGTGGTTGATGCCCATAGGATATTCCAAAATATGGGGACGAAAGATGTTGTTACTTTCAATACACTGATTTCAGGATTTGCAGCCAATGGTCATGGGAAGGATGCTATCAAGTTACTGTTAACAATGGAAGAAGAAGGCATTGAACCAGACCATGTCACATATATTGGTGTTTTGACTGCATGTAGTCATGCAGGAATGCTGAAAGAAGGTAAAAACATCTTTAAGTCAATTAAAGCACCTACCGTGGATCACTATGCTTGTATGGTTGATTTATTAGGAAGAGCAGGTGAATTAGATGAAGCCAAAATATTAATTGAATCTATGCCAATGAAACCTCACGCTGGTGTTTATGGCTCTTTGTTAAATGGCAGTCGAATTCACAAGAGAGTTGAGCTGGGAGAACTTGCTGCTAACAAGCTCTTAGAGCTTGAACCTCAAAACCCAGGAAATTATATTTTACTTTCTAATATATATGCCTCTGCTGGAAGATGGGAAGATGTTAGACAGGTTAGAGAGAAGATGAGGAAGGGAGGTGTCAAGAAATCAGTTGGAATGAGTTGGGTGGAATATAAGGGTCAAATACATAATTTCACTGTGGGTGATAGATCGCATGAATGGTCAAAAGATATTTATCGATTATTGGCTGAACTTGAAAGGAAGATGAAGAGGGTTGGCTTTGTAACTGATAAAAGTTGTGCACTGCGAGATGTTGAGGAGGAAGAGAAGGAAGAAATGCTGGGGACTCACAGTGAGAAGTTGGCCATTTGTTTTGCTCTTCTTGTCAGTGAAGTGGGGACACCAATTAGAGTGGTGAAAAATTTGAGAATTTGTATGGATTGTCATACAGCTATTAAGATGATCTCAAAGTTAGAGGAAAGAGAGATTATTGTCCGTGATAATAATAGGTTCCATTGTTTTAGTGAAGGGATATGTTCTTGCCATGATTACTGGTAAATTGGCGAAGAGCAAATTTATGGATAAAATTCATTTGCATAAAGAGAGATTGTAAGCACAACCCGGCCTTCAATAGTGAATCACGTATTTTACCATACTTGTCTTGTCACCATATTCAGCTTTTAACTGAAGAACACTTAATGATTAGGTCCAAGGATCAATATCAAAGAGCATTGTATCTCTGTGATGTACCTTACAAGAGTTATGCATTAGGAGTTTGATAGTTTTATTTTTCTACCAATTCATTCATAATTCAACAGAGCAAACCATGTTCATCAGGGAAAATAAATTAGGAGAGATTGGCCAGTTGGAATCTTTGAAGTGTTTTTGATGATGTAATCAAGAATTGCATATTTTCTTCCTCACAGAATCGATGAATGCATGGTCTAATATCTGGTTCTGTCATAATTTTACGTTTGTCTATAAGTCACAATTTCATTTCACTGAGAACTCTAGCTATACAGATCTGAGTATGACACACTCGGAACGTCAGTCAAAGCAGCACTGGTTTACCTTGGAACGGCCTTAGTAAAGGTTTGTGATTTCTGAACACTTCAAGGTGGATTGAGACCTTGAATTTCTCTCCATATATTTTTGGTATATTATTGTTTTTTCACTTCTCCATGAATCTAACTGATATTTTTCTATGCATTCTTGTCAGCTTGTCTGCCTTGCAACCTTCCTTAACGTGTCAGAGAATGACTCCTTTGACCTATATCAGGTATTGATGTTCTTTTCATCTGCAATTGGTGGAAGACATTTTTTTTTATATATTTTAGTGTACATTTTAATTCCATCAGTTGTAATGCCTAGTATCCTTTCTACATTGTAAGTCTCTGACTTGGAAAATTAAAACTTCATTTAACCTTTGGATGTCGGGACAAAATTATTGGTTGCTTGGCTATAACCCAGAACTGGGAAACTTAAATTGTTATACTCTACCCTGCATTCAACCTTTCTGGTTGATTGGATTGGTGTTGGTGGGTGGGAAGGTTTAGTTAGTCTATTGTTAGAACTTGTTTTTTACTATCACATATATATAATTTTTGTTTAATAGAACATAGAGTTAATGTCATACCATTAAATGGTTTGGAACGAAATGAATAATGCAGCCTAGTATCCAGAATTGGACAAACATGAATCAGAATAGCATTACAGAACTGTTTTTAGCGTTAAGGTGAAAAATAGTTTCCAGTCTCTATTTCATGTACTAGCCTTGATTCCATCCTCTTTTTCCCTCTTTATGGGATGTCTTCCTGTTTCATCCAATGAGCAGTGCTAAATGGTATGTTTCTTTTATTAGATCCTCATGTCAAGTGTACTAACTATGCTTTTATTAACAAGGCCTCCATATTTTTAGGAAATTTTGTTCGAGTCGTGCCTGTAACTTGCCTGTAGCTACAGCGAATGTTAACAAGGTATAATTCGTGTACGACAGGAACTGTTGAAAGCGCTTATTGGTTTAATAGATGTTGCCGGACTTTACTTCGCTTTGACCCAGTTGACTTACCGGAACATTTCTCAGAACCATAAATTTCAGGCAGTTGGACTGGGTGAGTTTGTTGAGCAATTAATTGAGGTTTTTTAGTTTGATTGTAAATGATGACTGCATGCACGGTTTATGTTTGTTTATTTCGATCTTTCAATATTTTTCCCCATCTTCTAATCATTGGATGGCCTGGTTACTCTGTTCTTCTTGTCTGCAGGTTGGGCATTCGCTGATTCTGTTTTGCATAGACTTGCACCACTTTGGATTGGTGCCAGAGGACTAGAGTTTACTTGGGATTACATTTTGCAGGGCCTTGAAGCTAATGCAAATCTGGTTTCCATCTCTCTTCTTCTTTATTTTAAGATACTCTTTATTTGGCTATTGTGAGAGATTCAATCATCGATTTGATTTTATTTACTTGATATTTCTTGGGTTCTTGATCTTGCATTCTGGGTGAAGTATTTGTCATGTCAGCCGCGCTGTTGCTTCTCTAATTTCTGCTCCCCACTTCAATTCAGGTGTTGAGCATATCCCTTGCTGCATTGGGATCTTTGATGTGGCTTCGGAAGAACAAACCCAAAGCGCTAATTCCCATAATTTATATCTGTGCACTGATTGTGGCTACTATGCCATCAATCACAAGGTATGTAACATCAATATTAGAAAATTTGCCACTTCGAACTTGATTCACTTTGCCTTCAAACTATCTGAACATCAAAAGAAGGTATGCAACATTTATTTGGTTTTTGAAAATTGTGCTTGTTTTCCTAATATTTCTCTACAATGAGTTTCATTATTTTTAAGAAAAAGTTGAAATTCCTAGCCAAACTCTAAAAATAAAACAAGTTTTTCAAAACCCGTTTTAATTTTCAAATTCAAATAAAGATGTACACAATTTTAACACAAGCTGCAAATTTTCTTTCCAGCTACTTAAGGCGGGGAATGGGTTGGCATTTCCCTAAGGTGGTGGGATTTGAACTCTTCACCTCTTTGGCGATGGCTTTTATTAGTTGGCAGCTTTTTTCTGCTTGTCAGAGACCCTCTGTTTAAGGTTATGGCACACGGGTTGACTATATTGAGGCCGGACGTGAATTTTGGAGGTGTGGATTGCAGATCTCCTTTTACTTAACCTTCTCTTTTGCAGTGTTCCGCCTAATTTCGTTATCATTTGCAAAACCAAATTGTGGGGTTAAGTTTCAGATGTTGTAAGGTTGTAAGCTTTGTAATGTATGATGACAGGTAAAAGGGAGTTTCAGATGTTGTAACGTTTAGTTCTTTTTCTTTTGAGATTTTGACTGGAAGTAAAAGGTAGCTTGCCAGGACAATGTTATCTCATTTTCCTTTCCCTACCCTCCCTTCCATTCTTTTACTGAGGAACATGATTACACAGATGGAAGAGGTTACCTCAGATCAAGGCTCTCCCGCCTTCTCATTTCATCACTATTTTATTTTCTTCTGCAAATTTTGGATGAGAAAAATTAGAACAAGTAAAGAATGCACTTTTTAATCTGCATTTACATTAGATGATTAGAGCGACAAGTTAGCAAAATAAGAGAACACATTTCACTAGTTTCATTTCAAGAAAAAGCATAAGGGGCAGGGGGAAAAAGTGTGTACAAGTGATGCAACTCCCATTGAACCAGTCATCCGTTGCCATGGGTTCAACGACAGCCTAACCTGGGACCGGCTACAATGAGAATTTTGAGGGAAAAAGATGACCGGTGACCTTTATAGAAAAAGAAAATCTAGCCATTCCTAATATGAGCAAATAATTTTTTTGATTGAGAAGAAATGAGCCGGAGTACCAACCTTACAGAGAAGGATGATTGCTTGTTGTTGGTACAATTGCTAATTCACTACAAGTTGCGACTTCACTGCTGAGGTCAAACCCTTTCTTCCCAACTCCGGTTACATGTACAAGCAATTCACACTTGCCAACAAGTTCAAAAATGCAGATATCCCCCATCTGGATACCATTGTCACGAACAAACGACATCCAACCGCCGCAAAAAGTATGCATCATTCGCCCCATTGAGTCTGGTACTGAGTTCACAATCCAACATCCCCCGTTTGGACCGCGAAGTATAATCTCAGTTTTGCTGTTAGGGAAATGTACCGAAGAAAACTGATGTGGAATTTTCTGCAACATAGAATGCCAATCAGTCCTACGAAATTGAAGCAAAGAAACTGTAAAAAATAACTGCATTGACAAACAACACTGGATCTAAAACCAAAAACTTGAGGAAGTACATGAACGGTCTAAAATAAAAGACTTACTAAAGTATATGAACCACTAGTGTTGAACTTTTTCATGATTCTGACAAAAGTTGGAAAACAAGAAGCAAATGACTTAGCTGCTCTTTCTTCATCAAGGGCTAACATTGCTCGCAAACCAAGTCTAGCTGGTAATACAAGATCGCCTTTGACACTGGTTCTCTGATTGACTGGTCATTAAAATTTCAAAAGCCATAAAACCAAGTTCTTCATATTCTTGCATCTTATAACCAATTAAGTCCAGCCTAGCTTTGAGAAAATCATGAGGACACAATGAATATCCTAATACACTGCAATCATGGCTTTGAGAAAATTATGGAAAAACCTCATCATGACTTTCTTATGAAATACGTGGAAAGAAAGAAATCAGAGAATATTTGCAGAAACGACACAGACCTACACAAAACTTTTCGACAATGTTGTTTACCAAGCTCTATCTTAGTGTAAACCGTCTAATATTTTTACTTCCTATAGTTATACCTCCCCCGTTGCAAATTGGGAAAGTCTTTTGTAAACACCATGGATTATACATCCCTCTTGTAAATTTCACTCATCAATGAAATTGTCTCTTATAAAAAAAAAATATCCTAATACACTACAATCAAACTACATGCATAAATAGAGAAGTAATAAACTCTATTTTTTATACAATAGATGGTGGCCAACGTGACAAAGGGAGACCATAGAGAACCTTCTTTCATACTTTTAAAACATAATTTACATGCAGATGACGTAGAGAAACCTTACCCAAACGCTTAGAAGGCTTTTTTGATTGAGAACAAACCACGACTTTGGTGGAGACCTTTTTTGCACTAGAATGTTTCCTAACATCATTGCAGAAAGGTTCTTGCCAAGACTTCGAACTTTTTTTATCAAGTACTTCAATTCTTTTGGGGCATTTTGAATGAACCTTGTGAGAGTTTCCATTCATTTTCTTTGGCAAACCTTTGAGAGTTTTACGAGATATTTTTGCATGGTCAGCATCTAGCTGACTCAAAGATCCTTTTCTACTTTGATCCTCAGATATTTCCTTTCCAACCCTGAAGATGCGAACACGCAATTCACAATCCAGGACAAGCTCAAAAACACATATATCTCCCATGTTGATGTCATTCCCACGCACAAAGGCCATCCATCCTCCACAAAGGGTATGACTTGTATGCACTCTTATTGTAGGAACAGAATTCACTGGCCAGGATTCCCCTTTCAAGTTGTGAAGGACCAACTTTAATTTGCAGCTAGGAAGATGTGCCATAGAAAATTGATAAGGGATATTCTGCATCACAAGAGAGGACGGCATCAGGCTTGTCAAACTGACATTTAAATGAAGGAAGGCTGCTTTAATTTATTGCTTTACGATCATCAAGAAGAAAATGAATTTTTTTTTGTCATCATCACCACATTTTACTTCCTTTTTTTCTTTTTGGTTTTTGGGGATCGACTCACCAATGTGTATGAACCACGAACATTGAAGCTTTTCATGATTCTCACAAAATATGGATAATTGGAGCTAAATGACTGGGAAATTTTTTTCTCATCCTGAGATAATAGTGATAAGGCCAGAATTTTATCTTGCATAGTTACGTCATCAACTTTACTGATCCCATTCTGACCAGCTCCATTTTTATGGACCTCAACAGTTTTTATGGCTGGAAACAAGAAGGTATGATCCAATTAATTTCTAATCACATGCTGATAAGGAGCTGACATTCTGAATAACTATTAATAAATCACTAGAAATAATTATTTTAACCAAGTATTTTTTTCCTCGTAATTCGCAGGCTAAACGTGGAACTGGGAAAGAACTAGCAAAGAACACTGTCCACAGATATGCATTTCCCTCTACGTTCTACAAAATAAACCTTAAGACCAGAACTCAGTTTACCTGCTAGGCCCTCCCTGCACTCTGAATGAACATAAAAAATGCTCCTCATTTTCTTTGCCACAGCCTCTGCACATGTATCTGGGCATGTAGGGTCCTCTTCCCTATCTCTTTTATGGCCTGTGTTATCTTGACTGCACTGAGAATGAAATGCATCTTCTTTCTCACATGCACTCTGATCAAAAACTTGCAGAGTGAAATTCAACTCGCCATCATATCTAAATACCAAGAAATCACCACATTCTAGGGAATGATCTCGTGCAAAGGTTGGCCATCCGTCACAGAAGAACAAGTTATCATTCTGCTGGATCAAGTCAACAAGCCAGGTATGGCCGCTAGGACCAATTAATGTGACTGATCGGCCTATTATTTCTCCCAAGTATCTGACAAATTTCAAAGGAAGTTTCTGCAATGATACGAAAATCAAATCAGCACAAGACAATCCCATAGACCGCCATAAAACACAAATGGCGCTACATATTCATCTTTGATCTGAATGTACAACGGATGGTCAGAGCGCAGCTATTACTCATAAGACACATCTAGATGCTAAATGATGCAAAGACTACGCCAACGTCCCGTGGAATGATTTAAACGCTAATTCAAAGAAATGTTTCATTCCACACAGAACTGAACTAACCACTATAAACTTCCCCTGAAAACAGAGACAAACAAAGACAAAGCAGTCTCTAACTTCCTAAAACAGTTTTTCCAAAAGAGCGAAGAGAAATAGATAATCGAGTCCAAACTAGCCACACATGATGTACAATGACAAACGCATGCTCATATTAACCTAATTTCTCAGATAATGACAGGAAACACAGTCAGGAGAACGCGAAATCCGAAGAGATTACCAGTCGTTCTGAACAAAGAGTGGAGGAATAGAAAGCATAAAAGCAAGGCCGCCTGGAAGTCACCATCAACTGGCAAGACTCCGTCTCCATCATCAAACCGCATGAACAGACTCCAGTCAATAAGGATTTGAGCAATATCTTGATGAAACAAAAGACATTGAAGAAATATTTGCCAGAAAACAAAACAGAGAAGAAAATGCACCAAAAAAAAACCCTAAGAAGAACCGAAGATTGACGGAGAAATAATGGAAGTTCCGGTCGCTTCCAGGATAGATTTGAGTTTCGAGGGATTCTGGCAAACGAACCCCGTAGTGGGAGAAGTGCTTCTGAGCGCGCCACGTTCACACGTGTGGAGTGTGTCAGTAATCGTACATCATTTTTTATTTTCTAAAAGTAATATTTTCATCTATATTATGTATTTTTTTACTTTATTTTATTTTAATTTATCAACTTAAATTTTTATCTCTCCGTCCCTAGCACTAATTTTTAACCCTACAAGCCTATTGCTATATATATATATATATATATATATATATATATATATATATATATATTTTCTTCAAATTGTTTCGGTGTCCACCCTTTTTGGGTTCAGCGTCCTCAGTGGCACGCTGCTTGGTGTCCACCCCTTTTAGGTTCAGCATTCTCACTGACACACTTCACTGCTCAGTGTCCACCCTTTTGGAGCTCAACGTCCTCAATGACATACCAATCCCATAACTGACTCTGATACCATTTGTAATAGCATAAACTCACCGCTAGCCGAGATTATCTTCCTTAGGATTTCTCTTTCGAGGGTTCCCTCAAAGCTTTTAAACAAACATATGCTAGAACGAAATTTCCACACTTTTATAAATAATGTTTCGTTTTTCTCTCCAACGATATGGGATCCACGATATGTTACTAAAAATATACTAGGATAAAATGAAGAGGACGTGAAGGAATGTGTGGTTTTCATCAAAGAAAATGGAAGAGAAATCCATTTGAGTAACGACAAGTTTACAACCTTAAACAAAGAAATACAGTTAAAACACAAAGACACGAAGACCAGAGATTCTATCTATATCTGTAAGCAAATGCACAAAAACATTTACAATCTCAAACAAAGTTTGTGACATTAGGTGTGGCCAAAAGTTTAAACCACCAACCTCCTACTCCTATCTACCTACCAATCTTGTATATTCTAACTAACAGCAGAAGAACATGTTACATTCGGTGCGTTGCAGCGATGCACGGATGATCAAAGAAGCTCCAGCTCTCGCCTCTCAGTGTTTCAAAACTTCGTGTTGGTTCTTGAAGACGGTACGAACGAAGAATTGTCGTCTGCTTAGCAGGAAGAGTTGGACTTTTAGCAGGGTGTGCTGTATGTATGTATGTTGCAGCATCTCCTGCTAAATGAGTTCAACTCTCATAATCTTTGCGTTCGTGTTTAGCCAGAGAAGAGCGCTCGAAAATGGGGTTCGGTGTTATGATTCTGAAGTCTCGGGGCCGGAAGACAATGTACTGTTTTCCAGAAAAGATGGATTCAGAAACTTGGCTACAAAAGCCCACATTTTATAAACATCTTCAAAGTTGGTAAGGAATCCGAGCGATGCTGTGACGACCTCGACTCGAAAAAATAGTTTCTTCCTGTTGTGACCATTAGCCATTGGTTTGCACAATGCCATGTCTTTGAGATCATACTGACCGGAGTTCTGCTTCGGAACGTCGACTGCACGGACATGGCTGAGGATACCAACTCCAAGAGATATTCCATTATTTTCAGCCAGTCTCTGTACAACTTCCGGATGAATTAGCCCTCTTCCATTGCTTTCTTTTACATTAAAAGCAACCGCAGCACCTCGTTCGTATTTGATCTTCGGTCCATACAGTTGTACGAGGTGAGTTCCTACATCGTCTCGACCCGGTAGTCGGAGTTGAAGTAATGAAGTGACGAGCCAGTTAATGAGATACCTCAGTCGGAGAGTGGTCCTGTTGAGGCCTAACATATCGATATGATCGAGATGTCGACAGATCATTTCGGGCTCCCTCCTTCCCCATTCTTGCTCGTCGACGTACTCTCCATCACTCATCGATTCCTCATTGTCAAAAGCTGCATTAGATGCTTCTCCGAGCTCAAACATCTCATTCAAGCTTTCTTTTTCATTATATTCTACGCTAAATGATACTCGACGACCCATGCTTAGCGCCCTTTCTCCGTCTAAACCGAAGAATCCACGTTCGGAAAACCTACTCCTTTCCCTCCTACCTAAGAGTCTGAATTCCCCTTCTGTCTCCCTCCTTATAGCACTTTCCTTCAAGTCTTTTAAGGCTCCAGCTGCTGTGGAATTCGAAAGCTTCAAATCCCGAATCTCGAAAGTCTGATTCGCAGATCGGTTTCCATTCGAGGCGAAACTCAACCTATTCGGGATCGATTCTTCTCCAGTTTCTGAATCCTCCTGAATCTCACTAACAGCATGAGAATCTTTCAAGCTTCCAACATTGCCACAGCAAGAGTCTTGTTCTCCAGATTGTTCCTCTTCAGGAATCCCCTCCACCCGACATAGATCCTGCGACACTGATAATACAGCTGCATCAAACGACAATACCGAATCGTCACGGTGCCTTGGATTCGCCCGCTTATCATCACCACCACATATCGGACTTCTCAACAACCTCGATGCTGGTTTTGGTGAAAGTTGCCTACTGTTCCTCTTACCAGAAAACCAAGATGGTGGTAAGGGTGATGACCATGTTTTTTGCTTAATCAAATGGCCAGAATTATCAGAACCAAATGGACTATGTCCCAAATCAATCCAATATGAATTATCCGACGACTCGTCCTCGCTGAAGATCGGACTCTTCATAACCTCCCCAACCGAAATGCTCTCAACTTCCTCAAAAATGGTACTAGCTCCATCCCTGTCCGAGCTATTGTTATCTTGTTCTATCTCAGTCTCAAACACATCCCTCACCTGGTTCGTCGTAAACACGCCCGAAAAAGCAGGCATTCGTGACTCCTGATGCGTCTCAGTTTCAGAATCCTCCTGACCATTGATAGCATCATCTTCAATCCCAGCCAACACATCCAAACCATCGATCGAATCGCCAATGTACTGCGGGAAAATAGGCAGTATCCTCACCATTCCTGTACCTGTCCGCCCACATTGACTTTGCAAGCTCCCTATAACAGATTTCTTAATCAACAGGCAGCCAAAACCAGTTGGATCAGACCCGAAAACACGATAAAACGACGTGATTATAAAATCTGGCCTAAAGAGGGAGAGCCCCAAGGAATCCATGTCCTTCGGACCGAGCGAGCCAGCATCGAGCAAGACGTGCCAATTGTTCTGCTGGGCAAGAGCCATCCATTGGTAAGAATACTTTGCTCCTGTAACTCTTGACTGAACAGGAAACACAAAAAGCCCAGAAACAGAATCCTTCTTCCTCTTCCTCTTGTTTGTAATCTGTTTCCTGAGCTCCCTTGAACAGAGTCTTAACGTTGGCCACTTAAACCAAGCACTGTAAACCTTTGCACCTCTTTCTTTAGCATTCTGAGCCATCCAACTCACAGATTGACTCTCATGATCAAACATGGTCAACAATTTCTTATTCGTATGAAAAGGATACGACTCAGCCAAGAGCTTAAAAGCTGACCCCCTACTGACTGTAAAAACAAGCCCATATTCATTCTCGGAAATGTTGAGGTAATTCATAATCCGTGTCTTGATGTCGTGTTCAATTGTGCCTTTCTCGGCGCCGCCGTAAAGGGCATGGTTGTTCAAATTGGCAGTGATTTCAGAGAGAGTAAACGCAGAAGACTCCCAGAATTGTTGGGTTTGAATATACGAAAATAAACCAAACCCACAGTAATCAAGACATACCTTCGAAAACGACTCTGACAAATGCTCGTAATCCTCTGTTCTTAATTGATCGATTTGTTCCGACGACTGGAATTTCGGGTACATGGTGAGGAATTTGGTGAAGGCGTCGAAGAGATTCGGAATCAAATCCTCCGTGGAATAGGTTCGGTCGGCGGCGAGTGCGGTGGCGCGTAGAAACTCCTTCTGGGCATGAAGCCGAGCGAGAGATCTCGACCGTCGAACATTCCCGTCGTGATTTGGCGAATCACAGTCAATGTCTCTGGATTTCGCCAAAGACCCATCTTCAGAAGCTTCCTCAAGAGCCTCTCTGAGCTTGTTTTCTTGCAATTGCCTGAGAATGGAGGATTTGCGCCTCTCTGTAAGACCAGACCCATGTCGGCGTCTGGATTTCTTGTCCATGATTAAAGCGGCGCAATGGGACAAGGGCTTCCATAGTGAAAGATGCATGAATTCTACACACAAAAGCCAAAGCGAACGAAATCGTAGAGCTGAAGTTCAAGAAACTCGGGCTTTAAAAGAGGGTTTCTGAGATTCCGGGAGTTAAAGAACCAAAGAACCAGCTGGTTCTCTTTTCTTTCCTTTTTGGATTTTCAATTCAACTGGTAAGGCAGACGCATTAAGCCACATCGCTAACTTTTGCGAGATCGATATCAGTGGGTCTTAAAGAGAAGGTATAAATAAAGGAAAAGATATCAAAGAACAAAAGGGTCATCAGACTAAGCGACATTACCTTTAATACGATCAGCAGAGAAGAACCCTTTACTTTCTTCAAGGGCCCATCACTGAAAATGGCTCCATTTCAAAAAATTCATCTCCATCACCAGCAACTCATTCAAAAATTCAAAAAAAAAACAAGAAACCCGTAAACCCCAGATTCACAAGCTTTAATACTTGCCTTTTTTGAACTGAAGATCCCAAAGTTTTTTACAGAAAATGGCATATGCCCATTAGAACAGAGCTTTAATCGAACCAGGAACGAAAATGTGAAAAACAGAGCACTAGAATATGAACAGAGGAGCCGCCGAGAAAGATAATGGGAGAGAAGGAATCCAAACCCAAAAGAAAACTGTTGGGATTAGGGGAAAGGACGAAAAATAAGGGCAGAAAACAGCATCCAACAACTCCTCCAACCAACATCGGCAGCTCCCCCACCACTCTTCCAGTAAGCAAGAACAGAGAGAGTGAGAAGAAAAAGAAGAAAAGGGGTTTCTGAGAACCCCATAAATTCCCACATTTACTATGGCAATCGATACAAACATGTCTGCATTGAATGCTGGTTGGCTGTTTCTTTCACATCTCCCACCATTATTACGCCTCCACCATTAATAAATCCCAGCTCGACCCCTCTTGCCCCCAATGGTCCACTCCTCCACTCCGCCGAATTGCTCTTTTCTCTTTGTTTATTTCGTTTTGGATTCAAAATCTCTCTCCCTCCCCCTCTCTCTCTTTGTTCTTCGATTTTGGTGAAAGAATCCCAAGTCCAAATCCCTATCCCAATTACTCTGTCTCTGGACATTGACACCGTAAAGAGTAGAATGTTTGAGTACGAAAGATCTTCATTGTAGAGTACTTGTTAAGACCTCCACGATTCTAGTGAAACAAACATTCAAATGATTGTAACTCAATTTCTAGTTAACGAAAGAACAAGTTAATTTATAACATTTTTCGACTATTTTCGCTCTATTGACCGATATAAAGTCTCGACAAAATAATCACTCCATAACCCTCGGTATTCTCCTTCTTTATTTATGTCTTTTTTCTTTTCAACCCTTTAATTGAATTAGTTTTTTTATCAATCTTTCTTCGGTTTACAGGTTTGAGTTAATTTGGGTTTTGTCTTCAATGCCACTAATTTCCATCAGAAGACTAGAGGAGATTGTCGATTACTCGTTAGTAACAACGCTATCTAAGCATGAGCGGGTTCAGTATTTAAAAGGGACCGTGTTCTGTGCGGAAAGCCTAATGTGATGACCCAACTACGCTTTTTCGGCTCTAATTAAGTTTTTTTAGTTTTTAGGTTCATGTTTTTGTTAAACAAATTTATATATACTATTTTCACTTATTATTTTATTTATAAAACATAATAATATTTGATAGCATTAAGGTGGAATAGTATAGTGATTGAGATGTCATTATCACATACCGAAAAGTACAATTATCTTAAATCCGACCAAAACTTTAATATAATTACGGAATATAATTTGGGTAATCATAGTCAAATCTTCATTAATTAATTCAAAACGTACTTTAAAAAAGCATGCTACCGCCATGCATGCATGCACATGCATACCATTGGCATCACATTACATGTCCCCACCATGACGTCAGCTTCTCTATAAAGTGGTCAACACTCAACAGACAATGATTCTTAACAAGAAAATAAAGTCAAATTATGAATTTATTCAAACCTATCAACTTGTAATAAAACCAATTTAATTTTAAAATTATTTAAAATTTTAAATTATGCCTAAAAATTAGAGGCCAAATTAAAATTTTTAAATGGTTAAGAACTTAACCTAAACGGTAATGAGTAAAATAAGTTAATAGTTAATTAGAGTATTATTTAAAATATTATGAATGTTGAATTTCTTTTAAATAATATTTATTTATATAAAAATGTTTAAATTTGAATAATTTATAGAAATGTCAATTCTTGATTATGATAAGGTTGTCGGGTGTATATGTGCTGGGTTCGATTCTCCGTGAATTTATAATGGTCTGCCTTGTCTTTTTCTATTTGGATTGCTTCTTTCATTTTTTTTAAAATAATAATAATATAATTCGTTTTAAAAAACATTTTTTTTATGCTCGTGTATATTTTTATTCAAGCAAATATTACCACACAATCTACTCCATATGGGATTTAGTGTTCTCAACGGCACACCGCTCTGTGTCGGGCTCTTATACCAATCGTAAGAATCCCATCATTAGTTCTCCTTTACAACGATGTGAGATTTCACAATCCATTTCCCTTGAGTCGCTAGCGTCTTTATGGACACACCGCTCGGTGTGTAGTTCTAATGTTATTTGCTAAACAAATATTATCCTCTTTGGGGCAAACGGCGATTTTATCATAAGTTCGTCGGTATATGTTAGTGGTTAGCAATTATTATTTACAAAATGTAATAAAAATTTGTAAGGTCGAAAATGAGAATAATTTTAGTGTTATTTTGTTGTTGGACCTGGGCCGGCAAAGGCAATGGGCCTGGCCCAAACCCAAAACTATTTGAAGTTTGAATTGCCCTATCTGAAATGCGATCCCTCTCGTTCTCCCGAGTCCCGCGCTTCAAGCAATGGTGCGCTGTAGTCTGTTGCAACAGAATCGCGACCCCTTCAATGGGAGTCGACTGTATTTGGAAAATGACCGGCGGCAGCGGCTGAGAAGCCGGTGAACCACCGAAGGATAGGATCCCCTCCGGTATAAAATCCCACCGGAGTCCCCATTCATCTTCATCCATTCCAAACAGCCCTTGGGAGTACCCAAGGAGGCGGCAATAGTTTCTCAATAAAGAAATAAAAAATAAAAGAAATAAAGAGGATAATGAAAGGCTCGGGCTGCTGTTTGTTCATTTCTCTTCTTCTTCTCCAATCTTTTTCGTTTTTCGCTTCGGCTCTTTCCGATGCCGAAGCGTCGTCCATTGCCCGCCGCCAGCTTCTAACCTTTCTCGAGACCGATGATTTGCCCGACGATTACGAGTCCACGGTTGTGGTGACTGAAACCTTTCCCAATTCCAGGCTCCGACGGGCTTTCATTGCCCTTCAAGCCTGGAAGAGGTCAATTTACTCCGACCCTTTAAACACCACCGCCAATTGGGTCGGCGCTGATGTCTGTTCCTACACCGGAGTTTTCTGTACCTCTGCTCTGGACGACCCCAATGTCCAAGTCGTGGCCGGAATTGACCTCAACCATGCCGACATTGCCGGTTACCTCCCCGTTGAGCTCGGTCTACTGTCGGACATCGCATTGTTTCACATCAACTCCAACCGATTCTGCGGCCTTATCCCGCCGAGCTTCGAGAGGATGATTCTCCTTCACGAGCTCGACGTTAGCAACAACAGATTTGTGGGCCCTTTTCCTGAAGTCGTTTTGAGGATTCCGAATTTGAAATTTCTGGACATTAGATTCAACGATTTCGAAGGGAAATTGCCTCCTGCCCTTTTCACCAAGGAGCTCGACGCCATTTTCCTCAATAACAACAGGTTCACCTCCCACATTCCTGAGAATTTCGGCGACTCGCCTGCGTCGGTGATCGTGATTGCCAATAACAACTTCACGGGGTGCATTCCGACAAGCATTGGGAAAATGGGGAACACGTTGAACGAGGTTTTAATGTTGAACAATGCGCTTGGTGGTTGCATCCCTGGTGAGCTTGCTCTGCTTGGAAATGCGACGGTTTTCGATGTTTCTTCGAATCAATTGAGTGGGAGCTTGCCGATGAGCTTAGGTGGGTTGAAGAAAGTGGAGATTATTGATGTCTCTTCCAATAGTTTGACTGGTGTGGTGCATGGAGGCGTGTGTAATTTGCCTAAATTGGCTGTGTTCACATTCGCTGATAATTTGTTTGATGGCGAAGACAATAGGTGTGTGCCTCAGAATAGACAGGATGTTTGGTTGGAGGATGCTGACAATTGTTTGCAAGGGAGGCCTAAGCAAAAACCGGCGGAGACTTGTAGTTCAGAGATCAGCAAGGCCGTGGATTGCAGTCGGGTTAAGTGCGGCGGAGGATCCACACCTCCTAAACAGCCAGAGGCACCAATTGATGATCCTCATCGTCAATCACATGTCCCAATGAACCACCCTCCTCCTCCACCTGTTGCCTCACCCCCACCACCACCACCACCACCACCGGTGCACTCTCCACCCCCGCCCGTTGCTTCACCCCCACCACCNACCACCCGTAGCCTCACCACCACCACCACCACCCGTTGCCTCACCACCACCACCACCACCCGTTGCCTCACCACCACCACCGCCCGTTGCTTCACCACCACCACCGCCCGTTGCTTCACCCCCACCACCGCCCGTTTTCTCACCACCACCACCCGTAGCCTCACCACCACCACCACCACCCGTTGCCTCACCACCACCACCACCACCCGTTGCCTCACCACCACCACCGCCCGTTGCTTCACCACCACCACCGCCCGTTGCTTCACCCCCACCACCGCCCGTTTTCTCACCACCACCACCCGTAGCCTCACCACCACCACCACCACCCGTTGCCTCACCACCACCACCACCACCCGTTGCCTCACCACCACCACCGCCCGTTGCTTCACCACCACCACCGCCCGTTGCTTCACCCCCACCACCGCCCGTTTTCTCACCACCACCACCCGTAGCCTCACCACCACCACCACCACCCGTTGCCTCACCACCACCACCACCACCCGTTGCCTCACCACCACCACCGCCCGTTGCTTCACCACCACCACCGCCCGTTGCTTCACCCCCACCACCGCCCGTTTTCTCACCACCACCACCCGTAGCCTCACCACCACCACCACCACCCGTTGCCTCACCACCACCACCACCACCCGTTGCCTCACCACCACCACCGCCCGTTGCTTCACCACCACCACCGCCCGTTGCTTCACCCCCACCACCGCCCGTTTTCTCACCACCACCACCCGTAGCCTCACCACCACCACCACCACCCGTTGCCTCACCACCACCACCACCACCCGTTGCCTCACCACCACCACCGCCCGTTGCTTCACCACCACCACCGCCCGTTGCTTCACCCCCACCACCGCCCGTTTTCTCACCACCACCACCCGTAGCCTCACCACCACCACCACCACCCGTTGCCTCACCACCACCACCACCACCCGTTGCCTCACCACCACCACCGCCCGTTGCTTCACCACCACCACCGCCCGTTGCTTCACCCCCACCACCGCCCGTTTTCTCACCACCACCACCCGTAGCCTCACCACCACCACCACCACCCGTTGCCTCACCACCACCACCACCACCCGTTGCCTCACCACCACCACCGCCCGTTGCTTCACCACCACCACCGCCCGTTGCTTCACCCCCACCACCGCCCGTTTTCTCACCACCACCACCCGTAGCCTCACCACCACCACCACCACCCGTTGCCTCACCACCACCACCACCACCCGTTGCCTCACCACCACCACCGCCCGTTGCTTCACCACCACCACCGCCCGTTGCTTCACCCCCACCACCGCCCGTTTTCTCACCACCACCACCCGTAGCCTCACCACCACCACCACCACCCGTTGCCTCACCACCACCACCACCACCCGTTGCCTCACCACCACCACCGCCCGTTGCTTCACCACCACCACCGCCCGTTGCTTCACCCCCACCACCGCCCGTTTTCTCACCACCACCACCCGTAGCCTCACCACCACCACCACCGGTTGCCTCTCCACCACCACCACCGGTTGCCTCTCCACCACCACCACCGGTTGCCTCTCCACCCCCACCACCGGTTGCCTCTCCACCCCCACCACCCGTAGCCTCTCCACCCCCACCACCCGTAGCCTCACCCCCACCACCGGTTCACTCTCCACCACCACCACCTTCTCCATCTCCTCCTCCAGTCTCCTCTCCACTGCCACCACTAGAGGACATCGTTCTTCCACCAAATTTGGGCTTCGAGTACTCATCACCGCCTCCACCATTGTTCCCAGGCTACTAAATAAAACGTGACAAATCATCGGACTCGCCTCTCTATTTTAACATTTTTATTTCCATCGTTATGAGTGTCAACAAATTAAACTAAAAAAAAAAAAAAAAAAAAAAAAAAAAAGCTAGGAAATGATATTCATTATTAATAGAAAGGAGAACTGTGAATAGGAAAAGAAATTTTCAAAAGATTGAGCTAAAACAAGCTAAACTCAACCTTTTTACTAAATCTCTAATGTCACAAAAATTGGACTACTCACACGATGTTTCCTATCAGACCACACAAGTTTTCCGAACACATGCTTTTCAGTTTGATTACTTTGAATCCTCCTCAACACAACTTGAAAATCCTTCTCTTCGGCAGTTTTAGTGAACTTCAAAGTACTTGGGTCTACCGAAACCAAAACTCCCGGCGGTGCCTCGACTTTAGCAACATAGGTGCCTGGACTTCCTACATTCTTCACTCTTCTTTTGATCTTCACTACCTCTGATTTTAGATTATACATCGAGATTGATGGATAGTTCAAGTCTATTACTTTGAATGACTTTGAACAAACAANAAGTCTTGCACACCAAGGCATTCTAAATTATATCAGATATGCATGTTGCTATGGATAATTATCTACAACTATGTTGCATGCATCATACAATACTTATCTATATATATATATATATATAGACACATTATTTTTGGTAATGCATTAAAAATAGCAAAAATATTAAGGAAAAAGGAATCGACCGTCCCAATTAGATGAACCTTGTTCTAAATAAGGGAACTTGTTTTAACTTTTTTTTTAATATTAAAGAAACAAACATCACTATTTAAGAATAATGTTGAATTAAAATTAAAATACCAATTCAAGAAACCCATTATTCCACCTTTGATCCATAAATGGTAATTAAGTCAAATTGAAAAATAGCTAAATACTACGTCTTCTTGTTAATAAATAATTTTTTTTTTATTTTTTTATTTTTTTTATTGTCGTATTTACTGTTTTCTTGCTATAAGAAGTAAGAACATCCATGTCCTTCTGCAAGTATTTTCTGAACCTCAGAGTTGAAAATGGCGGTCGCGACTGATCCGCTCGGCTGCATGCAAAAACTCGTCCAGATGCTTCAGGCTCCGCCGTATGTCGCGGCCGCCGTTCTGGGTGGTGTGTTGCTTCTGACGATTTTCATCGGAGATTGGAGAAAGAGACGTCGGAGTCCTCTACCTCCGGTGCCGGGTAATGATCGGTTTGTTGTCGTCTCTGTTTTAGAACTATTGGTGGTTTGGGGAAAATGATGTGAAATTAACGATTTAATGAATTTGTGTAGCGATTCCGGGGATACCGGTGCTGGGGAATCTGTTGCAGTTGAAGGAGAAGAAGCCGCACAAAACGTTTGCTCAATGGTCCGAGACGTATGGTCCGATTTATTCCATAAAAGCCGGCGCCTCCACTGTGATCGTTCTCAACTCCTCCGATCTCGCCAAAGAGGTATAAATCCCGGCCGATTTCCGGCGAACATTACCCGGCCGATTTAGTTTTCCTCCGATTCTTAATTTGCTCTGTTCTGATCTTGCTTGATTCTTTAAGGCTATGGTGACGAGGTACTCTTCCATTTCCAGTAGAAAACTAAGCAAAGCCCTCACTATCTTGACTGCTGATAAATGCATGGTTGCTATGAGCGATTACAATGACTTTCATAAGCTGGTTAAGAGATACATATTGGCTAATGTCTTGGGGGCTAACGCTCAGGTTTTTGTTTTCAAAATTGTTCTTGTTCTTGTTCTTGTTCTTGTTCTGTTCTTTGGGTTAATTTCTAATAGTTTGATCTGTTTCAAATTCAGAAAAGACTCAGACAAAGGAGAGACACCATGATAGACAATATTTCCAGAGAATTGTTGGCTCGTGTGAAGGATTCTTCATCAGAATCTGTTAATTTCCGAAAGATCTTTGAATCGGAACTCTTCGGGCTGGCGCTTAAAGAAGTGAATTCATTCTGTTCTTTTGCTGAATTCAGAACTTGATTGTGAATAGCTAACGTTGTGGTTTCATTGGCAGACGTTTGGGAGGGATATGGAGTCGTTATATGTCGATGGGCTTGGTACGACGTTGCGGAGAGAAGATCTGTTCAGAACTTTAGTGATTGATCCAATGGAGGGTGCGATTGAGGTTGATTGGAGAGATTTCTTCCCATATCTGAGATGGATTCCCAACAAGGGTGTGGAGGATAGGATCACGAAGATGGACTTTCGCAGGGGAGTGACGATGAAGAGCCTCGTGGAGGAGAAGAAGAAGCGAATTGCAGCTGGGGAGGTAGTTTTTCGTTCGCTTGAGCTCAAATGAGCCTATTTGTCTGCTCTGATGTAGAGAATGTATTGCAGGATTTGAATTGCTATTCTGAGTTCTTGTTATCTGAAGCAAAATCACTCACAGAGGAACAGATATCCATGTTGCTCTGGGAGATAATCATTGAAACCTCAGACACTACTCTGGTTGTAACTGAATGGGCTATGTATGAACTTGCTCAAAATCCTAAACGACAGGCAATTCCTGAAGAACACTACCATTTCTGTTGTTTGCTGTCTGTTCAATTCTTAAATTCATCGAAACAAGACATCATTCTGTAAAAACCTTTGACACTGCAGGAGCGTCTATATCAGCATATACAAAGTGTGTGTGGATCTGCAAAGATTACTGAAGAAAACCTGTCACAGCTCCCATATTTGACTGCCGTTTTTCACGAAACTCTTCGGAAGTACAGTCCAGTCTCGATCGTTCCATTGCGATATGCGCATGAAGATACCCAGTTAGGCGGGTACTTCATTCCTGCAGGGAGTGAGGTAAGCCAAGCCACGCTAGAACATTAACCCCCAGAGAGTAATTTTATATGGCAATGTCTGATGATGGTTCCTTTTCAGGTTGCTGTGAACATTTACGCCTGCAACATGGACAAGAAACAATGGGAAAGCCCTGAGGAATGGAAGCCAGAGAGGTTTCTTGATGAGAGCTATGATCCAATGGACCTGTACAAAACCATGGCGTTCGGAGGCGGGAAGAGGGTGTGTGCAGGTGCCCCCAAGGCAATGCTGATTGCTTGCACTACCCTTGGAAGACTGGTTCAAGAGTTCACTTGGAAGCTGAGGGAAGGAGAAGAAGACAAGGTCGACACTTTCGGCCTCACTGCTCGCAAGCTCCAACCACTGCACATCGTCGCCAAACCGAGAATCAACTAATAGAACTTCCTCCGCCATCCTGCATGGACCTGGAATAAATAACTATTATGGGAGTCTTTGGAAACCATTAGTCTCTTTTGTTTTGTGTTGAAGAGAAACCAGTGTGTTTCAGATCAGTTTAGAAGTAATTATCCATTTTAGAACAGTAGGTGTGCACAGAACGCATTGAAATAAAGAGTTCAACTTTTAGCTCGAAGATTTTCATGGTGATTCTGAAAATTTTACAAACTTTCAAACTATATTCACGAAAATATCGGATCGATAGATTATTTCGACCACATAACATGAAATAGTACACTGAACTCAAAGTTGCTCTTCTCTGATGATGTTTGTTGATCAACTGGGTTTGAAGAACTTCAACTTAAGTCCACTGTTCACCAAACTCCATATGCCTCCAATTGAAAAGGCCAAGCTAAAAGCAATGCCCAGCCAGCCCAATGTCCAGTGGAAGTACCAATTGAAACTGAACTTTGTAGGCTTTTTAATGAGTACCCACATGAAGCAAGGGTAAGCAAATGTGACTGGAAGAGTGAGTCCTCCTAGCAGACCAGCCAAACTAGAGAGGAAAGGAAGTGCTACTCCAATGAAGAAGTTGACAAATCCATAGAACACACGGAAGCCAGAGCGAACCCAGATGGAACAAGGACGGTTTGTTCGACTTGTGTAGCTAGCTTCGAAGCTGTCAAAAACGGGCATCGAGTATATCTGGAAACTGCTCAAACAATTGAACACCACTAGAAGGAAAGTAATGGCAAGAAGCCCTCTGGGAATGTCATGGCTGTGAAATGCATATAAGGCATTGAGCATCCCTCCTGAAGGCATCTGTGAATGAAACGCAGAAATGAATCGAAAAGGCGAATATCATAGTTTCGAAACAATGGCAAGAACAAAGATACTCACAAGGTTCCCATATGCCCAAAATCCTCCAATAGCAACAGGAAACAAGCAAGCTGCAATGAAAAAATAGCCAACTTTGGCTCCTCTCCACATGGGAACATGAGCAGGATGCTTAAAAGTTGAAGGCATTGTTGCCTGAGAGACATCAAAACAAACAAGATTCAGATACAATCACAAAGAGCAGCTCCTCAGTATCAAGTCTAGAAATGCAAAAGGCATACTTGAATTTCCAAAACCAAGTTATGGCCTCTGAAAGCAAAGGCTACGATTCCGAGTGCATTCATGACAGAGAAGACAGAAGAAGAAGGCGAAGGCATCGAAAGGGGTTCGTATGAGATCGTCGGAGGCCTTTGCTGGCTAACAGAGAGGACCCAAACCATGGTGGAGTAAGTGATGGCAGTCACAGCTCCAATAAGGGAAAGTCCAGCAATTGAATTGAGGTTTGGGAGTTGAGAAAGAACAATACAGAGTGATGTAAATACAAGGTACCACTCAACAGTTGTTAAAGGATTTGAAGAACAGAGCGGCCCACATACTATTTGGAAGAAGAGTTTCATTGTCTCTCCTCCAATAAGAATCAATGCCGTTGCAGTTCCTGCTGATAGGTAGACAGTAGGAAACACAGCCAGCCATACTCCCAATCTTTCCCCTGAAGATCATACAACAAAATTCTTTTACCAATCTATCAAGAACGATTAGACGCCCGGCTCGAAAACCGAACCATGTATACTGAAGTTGTATGGAAATATTACCAAAGGCTGCTTCAGCAAGCTCCACATATCTGTTGTACCTTTTGCCTGGCACTGCTTCATGAAGCTGAACCAGAATCCAAAGAGTATAAAGTTGCCAGCAATAGGCTATTGTTAGTGTCAGTATTCCCCAGCTCCTACAGAGTTACCACAACAACAAAAAAACAGACAATACCACCAAGTTAGAGATGGTTACATCAAACCAAATCTACTGTGAAATTGAAATCTTTGTCTCTGTCTCTCTGTCTCTTTCACTCCACCCAGAAACTCAAAGAAGCATTTGATTTGGGGACCATGACATGTAACATGCTCAATTATGGCCCGTTATGTATCACCATCAACCTCACGGTTTTAAAACACGTATGTTATAGAGAGGTTTCCACACTCTTATGAAAGGTGCTTCGTTCTTCCCTACAACCAAAGTGGGATCTCACAATTCACACCCAAATCCCTACAACCAAAGTGGGATCTCACAATTCACATTCTTTGGGGGCCAACGTCCTCACTGGGAACTGATACCATTTGTACCTAAGCCCACAGCTAGCATATATTGTCCGTTTTGACCCCTTACGCATCGCCGTTAGCTTCACGGTTTAAAACGCATGTGCTAGAGAGAAGTTTCCACACTCTTATAAAGAATGCTTTGTTCACCTTTCTAACCTACATGGATCTCACAATAACCATCAACTAGTTTGAAAGCTCCTCGTATTCCTAACGGGTTAGTTGAACTTTCCAAGGAAATCACGATGGTTGCGCATGTTCTTGAATATGGCAACGAGACAAGATGAAAAACATCATCCAACATCCAAACAAAACATATTAACGTTAGAACACTGTTAACATCTAATGATGACGAGACCGAATCATCAAAACTACAATAAAAGCTTTTAAAAACTATAGAGCCTGAAATTATGGGCAGGTGGGACAGCAGAGAAAGATTATACATTTGTGTGTTAATACAATAAAAAGCATCCAAAGAGAAGATGGCCCTCCAAGAACAAAGCTATCGCATTTTGCTTAAAATAATATAAGAAATAAGAGCAAAAGCAAAAGGTCAAGAAGTCCCGTCCCTCTTCAAATCAAATAATGATTAAGAGAACATTGGTGAATTGAAAACCTTGACCAAGTAGACCCCACAACCCAAAGTTCCCCACCAGCTTGATCCATGGTGGGTGGGAGAAGGCGAACCATGTTGCTAGAAATTAGCATATAGTTCATCTAAACTGAAACCATGTTGGTACAGTAAGAGGTACGAAAGCTTAAGCCCATAAGATTAAAGCAGCGTACCAGCCGAGGAAGGCGAAGGCGACGGGCAAAAGCAGAGCTTGGAAGCCAATCCCAGCGTTGAGGTTATGAAACGCAGCGTAATGAGCATTGCCATTACGGGACTCGGTAATCGGAAGCCAAGCATCCTGAGGGTTAAGCTTGGTGAGATGACCCACCTCCTCCAAGTAACCCTTCATATTAATCAGCACCCTTTTCATGGGAGTCCCAATGGGGCTCAAAAACCTCGGCGATATAAACGACGTCGGAGTCCACGCCGTCGAGGACTTTGCCTCCTTAGAAGGTGGCCTTGGAGAGCGCTGTCCCGTCGGCGTCAGAATCTCCGGCGTAGAAACTCGTGGGGTCGCTGGAATCGATATGAGCTCTGTCTCCGGCCTCTCCTCCATGGCAAAAGCAGAGCGTCGTTGATGTTAGCAGTTTTTTTTTTTCTCCTCTGTTTTGCTCAGCTGGGCTGCTTGAAATTAGAGATTGATATAGGGAATCGGATGTGGGGAGTGCAAATGATATTAGAAAGTGATTGATGGGTGGGGAGCGTGGCGGAAAGAGAGGAGGTCAGGGGGTCTCAGGGGGGTCAGTCAATGATGGAAACATGGTGATTTTTGTCAAGTGTGCTGCTTTGGCTCCATCTTTCTGGACCAGAATATAGCCACGCGCCACCCATACTCCCACAATCCCCAACATAATAATTGAATTAAAACAGTCGAAGCCGAAAAGAAAAGCAGGTGGCGCGTGGTGTTTACGCGCCAAGAATGGAGGTGGTAATGTAGGTGTGAAGGGAACTGTAAGTATGGGAAAATGTACGAGATTTTTACATAGGAGAGAGGCTTAGTGTCAGTGTCAGCAGGTCCCGACATGAGCATGTGGCGTGGCCTCGCGTGGCGTGGGCATCGAGCTTAGGCATGCGGACCCAAATTCTTCACCGTTTGGGCCTCGGCTCTAAAATTAAACCCATCTATTTTGTTTCTCAAGTCTTATTTAATTTATTTAATTTTTTAAAAAAAATTAATTGATAAATTCAAAAGCTCATGATTTAATTTGTAATTTTAAAAAGTTATTTACGCAATAAATAAAAATACTAAATTTGGAGAAGCGTGAAATGGGCCACGTTTTCTATTTTCTCCCTCTTCGCCGAAAGAAACCCGGTTCGTCGGTCCGCCCTTCGGTTTTCATCATTTGGTCTTTCAAAAGAACAATAAAGGTACTTTTCTAAAATTAGATTAATATTATAATCTTAACCCTAAATTAAATTTAAAATTAAAAACACACTTCAATTATTTATTAAAATAAAAATGTAAACTTTAAGGGATAAATATAAACCTTTGAATATGTTTGAATTGTATCTAACCAATCAAGAATAGGTTTAATTTATGACTAATGTAAATTTAAGGAAAGCTAACAGATGATTTGTTGTCCACACCGCACGAAACGTGAAAAGTTTTAAGTTTTAGAGTGTACTGGAGTTGGACATCGCATATAAGTGTGCAATTTCACTTGCAGGCTGATGATCTCACTTCAGAATTACATATTAGCGGTACCTGATTTGTTGTTTATAAACTTTTGAGGCCCATTTATACATAATTAATAATTAAAAGTTTAGGTCAAATTTGATTTGTATTATAAAGGTTTAAAATCAGGCAATTAGTAATTTTATTAAAATAAATGTTAAATTTTAGTCTATTTGAATTATTTGAAATTGGGGAAAAAAAAAGAAGATAATTTTCCGTTTCATAATTCATCGAGACACCGAAGGAAGGAGAGAGAAAGGACACAGAGAAATTGGGAATACTGGGTCAGTTTGGATCCATGCTGATCGGTTTCAACGGGCCAAAGGCGATGAAGATTCATCGTCCGACGACATTGCTGTTCTTGCTGCTTCAACTTCAAGCTTTTATGTTTGTTTACTCTATATCAATTGCTTCGTCGCTGAATCATTCCAGCTCTAACAGTGAGAACAATGCGCATCTCTTGCAGGTATTCTTTCCCGAGATCTTGAATTTGAGTTCCGAACACTAAGCTCGGCACGGGATCTATGAAGATTTTGTTAATTTTATTGTTTTGATTAGGATGTTTTGAAGGAAATAGCAAAGAAGCAGGAGTGGGATTCGGAGGAAATCAGAATATTGAAATTGGATTTTGGAAATGTGAGATTTGGATGTGCGGAGAGCCATGAAATTCGTCTGGGATTAGGTAAAACTCGGCTGTTGGCAAAATTTTCTGACGAGGTGTCGTCGTGGAAGAAGCCGAATTATGCTAATGATACTAGCTTCAGCTCTTTAATTAATGGCATCGGTTCAATGGCTGCCATTAGGTCTTTCAAGATTGTGGGTCCTTTCGATTTGATGGTTGAAGAGGATGCCCAGCTTTCTCTCTCCTTACCTGTACGCTCACTTCTTTCTACTTCCAATCTTTTTCATCTTCTTTGCCTGCAAGCAGATGTAGGCTGTAGTAAGCAAAACTCGCATGGCTAGAATTTTGTTCTTTCATAGCTATAGCAAGCTGCAGAAGCTTGTTCATGAAATTAATTTGTAGAGATTATCGAGCAGAATTATAAACAAGAGACGATTTCAATTCTTAGGATTTTATCCACTTTTACAAATTCGAATAGTTTAGGCAAGAAATGTGACTAGGAACAGTGAGTTTAGTGGATGAGAATATCCAAGAAATTCCAACGTTTAGACTTTAGGGTGAAGTGAACATTGACGGAAGAGGATTTCCTGTGCTGAATGAGAATTATAATATTCTGTGGTCAAGATATCTTTATTTCATTTGTTATCAACGAAATTTCTCTAGTTCTGTTTGGATATATTTGTTCTTTTGTTACAATTTGTTATCAATGTGCTTGCTGGCTGGCTGCACCAATAATCTTGACATTGTTCTGTCTGTGAGGATTAATTTGTTGGTTTCATTAATAATTCTTTGTATTTTGACTCAGAACAATGCTACTCATGTTGGTCTCAAACGAATTCTGGTGGGAGAAGGCATAACAGTAGAAGTTAGTGAAGCTGAGGAGGTGTCTGTGTTTTATTCGTCTGATCTTGTTCGACTGCTGAACGAAACCAGAACGGGCAATGGAAAAACCAGGATTTACCCTTTCTGGCTTCCATTTTGCTCACCTTTGCTTCCTCTACGCATACTTGGATCTGCGACATTGTCTGCATATAGGACACGAAATCCTGATGATCGTGTAAGAACTAGCTTCCTTTCCAAGGATTCAATTGAGTTATTGCCAGACAAGTGCTATGGTAGAAATACTCACACACAGAATTCTCCCATACTTGATTCCTTCAAATTGCGGTTTAATATGCTGGAAAGTATTCTTCAACGTTATCTGAGTAATAGGATCCTTCAAAATGGCCTGTTGGCTTTTGTTAAAGTTAAAATGAGAGCATCTGTTGTTGTTCGTTTTCAACTGGAACTTGAAAGTACTATTGGAACAAATAGTAGTCGATATGCTCGATTGGCAGAGTGGAGAACTAAGCCTACGGTTGAGCGTGCATCATTTGACGTGATGGCTAGGCCTGATGCTGTGAGATTGAAGCCCCTTGCAGTTAAGAAGTTAAGGCCTTTGATCGTGGCAGATTCAACTGAATGGAGGAATCTACTGCCAAATATATCCTTCACCAAGTTTCCATCTCTTCTCGTCCCTCCCGAAGCTCTAACGCTGGATGTCAAATGGTAATCAGATAAGTTTTCTTCAAGATTTTTTTTCACAGTTCTAGGTAATATCACTTACTTGCCCAGCTTCCTTGTTCATATGTTTGGTAAATGTACATGGTAAATGAACTAAAGAAATTTCTTGCTTTATGCTACTTGTGGTCACTAGTTAATAAAGCAACAGAAGCATCATATACTCTTCAGTTTTGAATGTAGAGAACAATGATACAGATATGTAAACAAATTCTGTGTATATGCACATTTGCATTTCTGGCTTAGGTTATATTGGATTTTTCTGCTTCCTTAGTTTTGTGGTTGCCATTTTTCATGGTCGAAAAAGTGGTCTGGACTATGTGGTGTCTTAAACTACAGCATTGAATATAGAAAAAGGTCCTTCAATATAAATGAATGTTTCGATCCAATTACATTTGTTCTCTTTGGGTTTCCCTTCCGAGCTTTCCATCAAGGTTTTAAAACGCGTCTACTAGATATAGGTGTCCACATCCTTATAGGAAATGTTTCGTTCCCCTCTCCAACCGATGTGGGATCTCACATTCAGTAACCTTGTAACTAGGAAAGAACCCAACGTGCTTACACGCTCTCCTTATGAGGCCTCACTTCACCAACTTGCTTCATCACCTCCACTGTCTTGTACCTATAACAAGATGCACACTAAGTAGAATCCAAAGTATATAAGACTCAGCAGTGACAGTAGCCAGTAAAAATAGTTTAGATGATCTCTGTCCAGGTTATTACTAGCAGCCAGCCAGCCAGCCAGCCACCACCTTCCTTGATCACCACCTCCACCACCACTGAGCTGGTGAAGTATCCAATTGCCTATGAATTGATGGAGTGGGCACATCAAAGCCCAGAAAACTCGAATATGGGATTCCCTGCTCGATTGTGAAAGTCTGGAGTTGAGCTGAGTATGAGTTCATAAACACAGTGCTGACTATAATTGGAAGCATTCGGATCTGTATCGCTAATAACTGCAGCTCGGTCCAAGAATCTGGGGAACTCAGCCATTTTAATTAGAATCACAGAACAACACACAGCTTGGTGTCATGGAAGAAAAGGGTAATTTTCAGTTTTCACCAGAATACCTGAACTGCTCTGTTCTTCGAACTTCTTTCCATTCCAATCTGTTGTGGCTCTTTCCCTTACAGAGGCAGAGTTCATAGCGTTGTCTGAAGCGATCAACAGTAAGGATATTTTTATGACGATCAAAGTAGTACCCATTTTACTTGTAAAAGAATGATCAAATTGAAAGGGTGCAAGCAGAAGTACTCAACCGTGCAGCGTCGTAATCTTGTGGTCCTGACGCTCATGACAAGTCTTGAGGAAAATCTAAGCCCCATATTCATTTTTATTCCAGTTTTGTAGTTTCGTCAGACTTTAGACGATGTTTATTTTTACCAACCGAACATTAGTTGTGCTGAATCTAAACTTGTTTGGTTACACACACCACCTGCACATGTTTAATTGTCTGACTCAATCACGCGACTTTGCGCATATTTATTAGAGACTTTTGGTGTCTATAAATGGCAAGTCCCATTTAAAAAATTACCCTCTATGTAATAAATAAAAACAAATATTAAATTAAAGATTTGAATATTATTTATAAATTTTAATTATTTGGAGGAAATGTGCAATTTTACTTGTAGTAAAATCGGTAGAGAGAGTGATAGGACCCATGTGACCCGTTACACAAACTTTATTTTAAATTTGCTAAAAGGGCTCCCGGTTTTGCCAGATTTCCAGATGGGCCCCCAAGGAGGGTGCCATTATTTAAATATTTAAAATTATAAGCCCCTTTTCCTTAAATACATCAATTCAACAACGCCTATTTACTACGCTCCATCTTTTACGAATTATGGGAATGGCGGATCCCCGCGTGGCCCTCACGTGACTGGCGCGAAATTTGAAATCTTTGCTGTGCTGCCCTTATCCTTTCTAACGTATTTCCGCATGTTTCCCCTG